AGATTTTGAAAAATCAATTTATATGATTTTTTAGTAACGTGATATATTTTTTTTAATATAACGTGGCCTTCTCTTCTATCTTCAGAAGACAATTCTTAAATATTACTCATACCACTGTCGGCTAAAAACAAGATAGCGCGTGAAGAATGTGACACGTCATGGGCCACGTGTCGCCAGCTCATTGCAAACTGTGCACGAGACAGCTACTTCAGCCAAGAAATATTCGTCGTCGTTCAAGAAGACGAAAAAAGAAAGCCAATAATTGGTTCATCACTTTTATGATTTGTTACAACATTTATGTCCGTAAGATCTCACGATCTCAAAATCCAACGGCTGAACTTCCTTCTCCGACGTGGAATTATTACATTAAATAATTTTAAAAAAATAATAAGTTCCAATGCAGGGTGGGAACGTTTGTTTGTTTGTTTTATATAATATCAGCGGAATCTAAATTTTGCGGCAATTTCTGTTCTCCCTGTTTGAACTGAACAAAATTTTGCGTACTTCTTCATTTTTTTGCCGCTTCAGCGAGCGCACATCATATAATAAGCTTCCATTGTGTGAGATTCTCGGTGGTGGTGTTCTGCAGAATCGAAACCTTGGGAGTTGCTTCAAACTTTTCGGGAATTTTCCTCGTTCTTCAACTTGTTCTGATTCCGTATCCGTTGATTTCATTAAAAAGGTTTGGCAATGACTGGCGCTGTTTTTGATTCTTTGCCCTGATCATATATTGCTTGCAATGATGACAATTATATAGGAAGAGTTTTGGTTTGTATGGGCTAGTTCGATCTCGTATATGTTTCGGCACTTCTTGCGGTGAAATGATTTTCGAGTTTTATGATTTTTTTTTTTCTTATTGAGTTTTGGAGGGATCTGAAATCGAAGGCATGTTAGTGCAGCTTGCCTGATAATTTTTTAAAAGAAGATTTCCTGTTTCATTTGATTTGTGAGATAATAAGGCATTGGGGGAATCTATTACGTTTCCTGTATCATAAAGATTTTTATAATTTGGAAGATTCTTCGTTGATTTGCTGCATTTTTACGATTACTTTTTGTTTATTGTATCATACAGATTCTGTAATGTGGCTGTCTTCCATGTGTGTAAATTAGAGAGGATTTTCCTGTCATTCTATTCTGCCTTTGAAAAATTGTCGGTATATTTCAGTGTACCAATGGATATTTCTTTCTTATGAAAGAAGGCATAATCATAATTTCCAGCATTTCTCTATCATGCTATGTGTTGTGTTAAGGGCATAAGCAACTCTGATGTTGACCATTTGCAGTTGTTTTTTTTCTTTCTCCTACAGAGTTTTAAATTTTATAGTTCTTTTAAATTGAATTTCTTTGTGCACGACGGTCAGGATGTGTTGAATAGAATGGTTCTTTAAGGAATTGATTTCAACTATTGGTTTCTAAACTTTTCAGATTGGATAATTTCACCTTGAAGAAGTTTGTCGTGATATCGATTTTCTGTAGCAATTGGTTTAAGTATGGTCACAGTGGAAAATGCAACGAATAAGAAATATGATCGTCTACCTAGAGAAGCAAGGGAGATTTTGCAGTCATTGGCTACCAAATGGGGAGACGAAATTGATTCAAGTGCATTGCAAATGATCCCTTTGAAGGGAGCCATGACCAATGAGGTCTTTCAAATTAAGTGGCCGACTAAGAAAGAGGATGTCTCTAGAAAGGTTTTAGTTAGGATTTACGGTGAAGGTGTGGATGTGTTTCTTAACCGAGAAGATGAGATAAGGACATTTGAATTTATATCGAAGCAGGGGCAGGGACCTCGCCTTCTTGGGCGATTTTCGACTGGTCGAATTGAAGAGTTCATCCGTGCAAGGGTATGCAGATTTTATTTTCTTAGTAATGATGCTGGCACGTCGATATTAATTTAAGAATACTCGTTTTTCTTCTTATTGTGTTCCTTTACTCTTGTTGGTATGTGACTGTCAGACATTATCAGCAGTGGATCTACGTGATTCAGAAATATCTTCTCTTATAGCCATTAAAATGAAGGAGTTCCATAATCTTGATATTCCTGGTCCGAAGAACGTGTGCTTGTGGAATAGATTGCGGTATGGCGCTTTATGGGCAAATATCTTTTAGTTATCTCCCTTGCTTGTTACAGTTCTTATAGTTCTTACATACTTTCCTTTTTGCAACATCAGAAATTGGCTAACTGCTGCCAAAAAAATTTCTCCACCTGAAGAAGCCAAAGCCTTTCGCTTGGATTCTATGGAAGAAGAGATTTCTGCATTGGAAAAGGACCTCTTTGATGATCATCAAACCATAGGTTTTTGCCACAATGATGTACAGTACGGAAACATAATGCTAGACGAGGAGACTAAATCAATAACTATAATCGTAATTTACTTTTCTCCTTGCTCAGAATTTATTTTTCTTGGAATAGGGGAAATGCATGTCTATGTTTTTTTTTTTTGTTTAATTAGTCCGTTTTAGCCCATTATGTATCGCCATTAGCCTTACGATTTTAAAACATGTCTGCTAGGGAGAGGTTTCCACACCCTTATAAGAAATGGTTCGTTCTTCTCTTCAACCGATGTGAGATCTCACACTCATTATCATTCGTCTATTGAAAAATTCATTAATGAGAAAAAAAAAAAGGTATATATAAGAGGATGATTCCCTATCCCTCGTCTGTTTTCTTTTGTTATTACGAGATGCCACACCTCACTTTGGAAGAACAAATCTGTATTCAAGATTTGTAATCTGAAGCTAGTAAGTCATGAAGACAAAAACATGTTGCCGTTGCTTGAACTATTGCTACTTTAGGATTATTCATTCATGGTTATTATTATTGTTCTCTTTTATCTGGAAACCATCTGCAAGCTTAGCCATTTAGGCAAGAGAATGTAGATTTGAGTCACGTTACTCATTTGATTTTCATTCTTCTCTTTCACAGGATTATGAATATGCAAATTATAATGCCATAGCCTTTGACATTGCGAATCACTTCTGTGAAATGACCGCGGATTATCATACGGACACTCCACATGTTTTGGTCCACACCAAGTATCCCGGTTTGTTTTGTGTAAATCTATCGGTATGATTTTATGCATTTGTATGTATCAATATTGACTTCTTTTTGCCCAACAGGTTTGGAGGAGCGTAAAAGATTCCTGCAAAAATATCTGAGTGCTTCAGGTAATTTTATAATACCTACTATAGAATATGAATTATGAACTGTTGGCAAGGAACAAAGTAATCAACAGCCATGTTCACTTCTTGGTCGTATAAACACAATATAAGTTGTGCTCGGTTTTGTTTCCTTAGGAGTTGGATATTTTTTTTAGTACAACAAATGTGGGGTATAGAGATTTAAACCTCCAATCTCAGCAGAAGAAGTACAGGCCAATTACTACCAGTTGTGTTCATATTGGTCTTAGAAGTTAGATCTTACTATATTGTTTTATTACCTATTTGGATTTGAGTCTTTGACCCCTTATTGCATCTGTTAATGGCTGTCAGATGCGCTTAAGTAAGAATTTTGTTTTTTGTACTTCGTTAATTTCCTTCTGCCCTTTTTTGCTTGCTGCCTTTCCCTGTCTTAAATTTCTGGTGTCTACCATTTAGGGACTACGAAATTTGCAGTGATTGAAATAGATTTTCTGAAAAATGAAAGATGCATTTGAATTGGAGGTGTTGAGCTACTTCTAGATTTGGGACCTCACATTATGTTACACGTATTGCAGGTCGTCAGCCCAGTGATGCTGAGGTAATGCAACTAGTCCAAGATGTCGAGAAGTATACTCTTGCTAGCCATCTTGTTTGGGGCCTCTGGGGAATAATATCGGTAATTTCGCACCTCGGATACTGAATCTATGCAGTCACTGTAGTTATTAGCCTCTTTTTTTTCTGAAAAACCATGTATTATTTGTGTTATTCTCTAACTTGACTCCTGAACAACGTCCTTATCATCGATTCACTCGTCATTTTCAGGAGCATGTGAACGACATCGACTTTGATTACATCGAATATGCGAGGCAGAGGTTTGAACGATATTGGACTAGGAAACATGATCTTCTCGGTAAAGAGAAAACGACTCGTGATTAGTTGGTGGTGAGTTTTGGTTTCCATGTGAAAATCAGTAGGAAAGTTTGTTTATGGTTTTGAAGGTTCAATGATTAGAATTTTGACCTTTCTCTGAAAAGCTTTTGTAATTGAGTCCTCCCATGGTGAACGGTCGCTCCACATGGTTGTGTTGTGTGTAATATTAAGTGAATAAATAATTTTGTTTCTGTAACCAAAAAACTGAACGAGATGATGTTAATAAATCCAATAATATTAATTTGTAATATATTTTTAATGTTCTATTTTTTGTATTTTATTTCTTTGTTGTACTAAAAATTGCTGTTTTTAATGTTTTATCCTTTTCTTTTGCTATATTTTTAAGAACAAATAATCCTCTTCTATTTTTCATAATTTGAATAATAGGTGAAGTATTATTTAATTTTACTTTTTGAGTTTTTATTTATTTATCTGTAATTTCGTCGAGTTCTTTTTTAAGATTTATACTATCGTATTATCACATCTGAATATGCACGAAATCATAGGTCAAGTTCAATGTACATGGTTAAACTTAAATTATATTAATTTTTTTTATATAATTATAATTGCTTTTAAACATGTGCCTTTTCAAATATTAGTAAATTTATTTTGGTTTTTTTTTTTTTTAAATATGTGCCTTTTCAAATATTAGTAAATTTATTGGGGTTTTTTTGAAGATTTATAAATTAACCTTTTTTTTTCTTTAGATTTATAATGTCATGTGATGGAATATTTAGTCCACACATAAATGAATTTATGGTTCGTTTTTCTTAACTAAGAAAAATAATAATAAAATTCATTTAAACCCAGAAAATCCATTGTGAAAACGGACCAACAGGATACGAACACGTAGCCATTCCTAATCCCACTCAATTCCCACACCACAAAACGGCCATCCAATGTAAAAATATCTTGTTTCTCTTAAACCCGGAGGACATCAGCTAATAAAGGACACAGCGAGAGGAAGAAAGTTCACGAACTCTCTGCTCCTTTCTCTGAATTCCAAAGCAGTTTGAATCTGTAAAGACATTTCGAGTTTTCTGAGGCATCGACAAGCGCTTTGGAGGAATTATGGCTTGTGCTTCACAGGCGCTGATTGCCGCTAATTCATGCTCGTTTCTGAGCCAACGAGCCACTAGAAAGTCTCAGAAGCTCTTCAATCAGAGTGCTTCCAATCTAATTTTCACGGTCAGAGCTTCGTCTGAAGATTCCGACTGCAATGTCGACGAATGTGCTCCAGATAAGGAGGTTCGTCCGCTTTCTCGTTGTTGAATAATTCGCAATTCCTTTCGGACCGATTGAATTTCATCTTAATCTTGTTATAATTGATTAGAATATGTAATTAAATGTTGTAGGTGTAGCTAATTGTTCGACAAGTGCTTTTCCTTGAGCTAATCTTCTAATCTGTTCATTGTTGACTTGTTGATTACCAAGACAATTTCATTAAACTAAATGCTATTTGTTTAACAATTTGATTGATGAAATGGTTGAATTTTTATAATTTGAAATTCAATCGCTCAGAAAACCATTGTTTAGAAGGCAAAACGAAGTTTGACGTAAAATTTTGAGACTCAAATTGGAATACACTAGATTTACGATTATAATTGTGACTTAACAAGATATTTGATTTACGGCTTACCTTTTGAGCATTGATAGGCACACAAGGAATTTTCAGATGATTTATGCTGTTCTAATTTGTAAACGATATAAAACTCTAACATTGCGATGTCTATTGTAATTGGTAATGCAGGTGGGGAAAGTTAGTATGGAATGGCTAGCAGGGGAGAAAACTAAAGTGGTTGGCACATACCCACCAAAGAAAAAGGGGTGGACAGGCTATGTGGAGAAGGACACTGCAGGACAAACAAACATATATTCCGTCGAAGTAAGTATGAATTTTCCAATGAGGATCAAAGTTTTATTTCTGGATTATATGCTTATCTGTAGTAAAATTTGAATATAGGGATCGGGGTAGGCGTTCATTTGGTCTAGTTAAATTGTATGATTCTGTTTCTGAAAGTTTTAGCAGCCAAATTTTTGTAGTTCTACATGTTTGTTTCATGAACTGATAGCTTTCCACAAGTGAAGACATCGTTGAGAATTATTAAGAGAAATAGTCACGTTGATTAATTAAGAGGAAGATCATAAATTTATACGTAAGGAACACTATCTCCATTGGTACGAGGTCTTTTGGAGAAACCAAAAGCAAAGCCACGAGAGCTTATGTTAAAATTGGACAATATAATTGGAGGGTCGTGGTTCCTAACCGACATTGTTTTTTATCATTGAGTATTTGAGATAACAAGATAGTTGCATTTTATCTGGTCGGTTTTAATGTTGTGCTGAACTGCATCCAGTGATTGATTTGTTTCTTATCTATTCTTTTCTTGGACGTGTTTCATAATCATTTCGTTTCTTAAATTAAGCTTATAGACACTATTTCTAAATTCTACCATAGATGTTTTATTTTATTACCTACTCTAACATGTTTTCAAAAAAATCAAACATATTTATGAAAATTTAAAACTCGCTTTTGTTTTTGAAACTTGGTTTCAAAATGAAATGTTTTTGTTGAAGAAGGTGAAAGGCTTAAATTATACCTCTGTTCTTTCATTTTTTCTTTATTTGTTCCTCCCTTGGATGTTATTAAATCACCCAGGCTCCTTAAATTGCGTGTACTTGCAGCCAGTAGTTTATGTAGCAGAAAGTGCTATAAGCTCGGGGACTGCAGGGTCTTCCTCAGAAGGGGCTGAGAACACACTGGCCATTGCTGGTGGACTTGCACTCATTGCAGTTGCTGCAGCTTCATCTATACTGCTTCAAGTAGGTAAGAAACCACCCGAAGTAAAAATTGTTGAATACACCGGACCCTCACTCAGTTACTACATCAACAAGTTCACTACACCAGCAATTCTCCAACCACCGGTACGAACCGAGTCCGAATCCGAACCCGAATCCTCCTCTCAAGTCGACGGTGTCGCTCCTGAAGTAGTAACCGAGGTTCAAATTCAATCAGACATTGCTGCTCCTGAAGTAGTAACAGGGGTTCAAGTTGAATCCCAAACGACTGAGCCTTCCTCTCCGGCTAGTTGAACCAAATTCATGTGAGTTTCTCTAGAGGTTTTACTTCTGTATTCATCTGTTATGAATATTGGTTCTTGGCGATTACACTACAAATGAAAGCATGATGTTTGCAGATGTGCTGTACTGCCACCCCTTTTTTTTTCTTGCTGCAGTTGACTTAGTGGAGGATAGATGGGGTGTGAATCGGTTGACTGTGTAAACAGAAACTTTAAACGACCTTTACCCATCTTTTTTGAGCTAGAAAAATAAATATAAGTACAGATACATATATAAATATTTTATTAAATTTTGAAAACTATATATACCAAAAATCTTGCATAAATACTTTTTTTATTTGTTATTACTTTAGGCAATAGAATTTATTTATTTCAATAACAAGTAAATATTATAGAAGTTGTGTGGTTAACATGAGTAAATAATGTATCATAGTTAGGCTTTTTGAAGTGCGCATACGAAAAATTGAGTCATAGTCAATATTTCTTCTACATTGTTGAGAAAAACGTTTAAATTGGGCGATTTCGATGCATATGATCGATAGCCAGCACCCAAAAATAGTTTTGCTCCCAACCAGTTTTTGTTCGACAAACGTCAGAGTACCATCAATGACTATTCGCTCGTGTTCTCGGGCAGTCTCCAAAAAGCTGCTCTTTCCATTATCTTGATTATCCCTTAGGAAGTATTGTTGTGATTTGAATCTTGATGAAAGAGAGCCTATAATACGTTATGTACGAGATTAAAATTGAAACCCTAATTTAAAAACCTTAGTTGGGCTATTTGAAGCACGCTCACGAAATACTGAGTCATGGTTGATATTTTTTCAACATTATTGTGAGTAACGTTCAAATTCAACGATTTCGCCATGTACGATCGATAGCTAGCAACCAAAAATAGTTTTGCTCCTAACCAGTTTTCGTTCGACAGAGGTTGGCTACCATGGGCGGCTATTTGCTCGCATTCTCAAACATAAAAATTTGAATTTTTGAACTAAAATAATAATTATAATTAAAGTCGTTGTCCAAAGATTATTAGAGCCAACTAAATAAGGGGAAAAACTACAAACAATGTGTTCGGCCACCTGAGAACTAAAAATATAATATTTGAAAATTAAATTATTAAAAAATATTTAAAAGTTTGAGACAACAGAGATATTCAGAGAAAATTATCTTATAAAGTTCAAGCGTAAGATAGAATAAAATAAAAAGCGCGCGTGTAAAAAATAAAATAAAAATAGAAAAAAAAAAAGTTTTCAGGCAAATTAAAACAGATATAAAAACGGATGGGCGCCGAAGTTCTTATTTTCGCCTAGCAAAAGGCTTGGGGAATGTTTTCGCTCTCTCCGAAACAAGTCGGTTTTCTTGTTCCTTCGAGTCTCGATCTCAGAAGCCATGGTTGTGAAGCCATCGGGAGACGCTTCGATGTTAAGCCATCCGCATTCTCTCATTATCTTCGTCTCTTTTGGCTGTATCGAAGCTGAATTGCAGTTTTCTGCCATTGTTAGTTACTGATCAGTTACTTGTTAACATCAAAAAAATTTGTAGGAACGGGAAGCAAGTCGACGATCCTAATCCAATCGATTCCGTTAACGATAAGCAATTCTTTGGCCTTCCTATCAAGACAGCCGTCGATAAGTTTCAACTTCTTCCTGAATTTTTGAAGGTGTAAATCATCACACTGCTTTTGTTTGTTACGATTCTCAGTTTAATATGCAGATGCACTACAACAGTATTTCTGTACAATGCGTTTGTTACAGCCTATGATTATTGATGAACGATCTGGTTGCAGGTAAGAGGTCTGGTTAAGCGGCACTTGGATTCCTTTAACTACTTCGCGAATATTGAGATAAAAAAGATTGTCAAGGCCAATTACCTCATTGACTCCAGCACTGATCCGAGTATTTTATCCTAGGTAAACATTTATTCATCGTATATAACTGTCCTCCTTCAGAGAATTGAGTCATTAAGTTGTAAATATCTTTGTTTACTCCTCTGTTCATCTTTACGTATGTTTATTTTAATATCCCTGTGGTTTACAATCGAGTTTTTTTTTTGTCTAGACCCCTGGCATTGTGGAATGGATTTCAGTGGTTCAAATTGAGTAGTTCTTCCCGATTTTTGCAGGTTTCCAGATGTAAGAATCGGTGAGCCTTATGTGACCGTGAATGCTGTCAGTGAAACTTTCAAGCCTCATACATGCTGCTTGTCCGACCTGACGTATGGTTCCTTTGTGATTTTTTCCATTTAGTCGAGCCTCTACATTGATTTCCAAAATATTTATGATCCCTGACTGTTCTATTGTTTCAAAATTTCAATTGAATCTACATTTTTCATCGTGTTAATTGACCTAAGTTGATATTGTACTCTGCTGCAGTCAATCTTGTTTATTATAGTTTAATCATATTGATTGAATGGTAGATCATACAAGGAATTTAAATCTTTGTTATTTTTCTGCTGAAATTCCTTTGTATTTATGCATACTAGTTGATATAGAGTACATCGAAGAAAGTCATTCACAAAGGGAGGAGGTCAAAATGTATATGTCGAACGTCATGCACAAGTAAAAGTCATGTGACGTCAAAAGTTGAAATGTATATTTCGAAACATAGAGAACACTTCATCCAGATCAGCTGAATGATATGGATTGACTTCAACCTTTCTCACACGAACCGCTGCAAATTCAAATACTTGAAAGATTAGATACAAATCTAATCTCTAGATAAACTTTTTAGGATTAACTAAAGATAGATAACTACAAGATAAAGAATATGGATATATTGGGACAGATTCTGTATCCCTTGTCAAACATTATGAAAATTTGAAGGTTTAATCCTATTTTCAGTCCATTTTGGTCTTTATACTTTCCGTTTTTGTTCAATATGATTGTTGTGCTTTCAAAATATCCATTTGGTCTATGTACTTTAAAGAAATGGTCATTTGGTTCCTGTTTGTAAATGTTAACACACCTTTTATACACAGGGAAAACCTGTACAAAGTTATAGCTATATTTCACACATACTTAAACAAAAACACTTTTGGAATGTGCGCTTAATTTTCTCAAGAATACATGACCTCTAGAGCCAAAGATATGGGCAAAGCAAACCTATTTTTGGCAATACACACTCTGCATGCTAAATAGTTGAAATGCGGAAAGGACATTTCCCATACTATTATTCTCTGAACCCAAAATTTGGCGCTTTTCCTGTTAGAAGCTGATATGTTCTTTAATTGTCTAGGTACAACAGGTTGCCCATTACAAGCGTATATATTTATGGGACCAATTTACTACCAAAAGTTAAAACACAGGGTAAGCTTCTGTCCCTCTTCTATTGATTCCTGTTTTCTACCCTGTTGTGAATTACTGTTACCTTTTAAAAAAAGCTTGCATAATTTCATGATACATTGGTCTTGGACAAAATGCATGCTAGAGGTAATGGTCTGCGAGTCATGTTAACTAGACAACCAACAGAAGGGAGAGCTAGGAATGGAGGTTTGATATCTTTCAAATTACTATTTTCAAGTCTCCTTAGTGTAAGAGCTGCATGGTTAGATAGCTGTCTATTTCCCAGGACTGCGAGTAGGAGAAATGGAACGCAATTGTTCGATTGCTTATGGTGCGCACGCTGATTTTCGAACGCTTAATGATCTCAAATGAACCTTTTAAAGTTCAGGTTCTTTGTCTTGTTTGTATTCATGCCTTCCCTTCTGTCGTTGCATACCTCTAAATTCTTGTTACGATGAATGAAGTAGGAGCGTTTCAAGTACTAAGTATACTCATTCTTTGGTGATAATGCTCAACATTGTTTCGTTCTTGTAATTTTGAAGAAAATCATTGTAAAATAGTTTCAAAATGGGTTTGAGACTATTCCAGGCATAGGCTGCAGAGTCTAAAGATGGCAGGTAGAGATGACGACCTATTTGTGAATACTTCCTTTATTTAAAAAATGATAATATTGTGTATACTTCCATATGAGGCTCCCCACTTATTGGCACAGGTCCGCAGACTTTGTGGCTTGTTGGGATATTACAACCACAAGCTAACAACGGGAATTTGTTCATATATGCGTGCAAGCTCTTAATCCATGTGGGTAGTTTTCTTCTTTTTTTTTTTCCTTCCATTTTCTTTTTTGTCTGCATCTCAAAGTCATGCTTTACATAGGTATTTTCTTGTCAATTTGTTTTAGGTCTTAGGTAGGTTTCATCATTCGAGTTTGATTTTCTGTTGATAATAAATGCATATATATATATAGAGAAAGTAGGTATTCTGCCATTTTTTGCCACGTTGACAGAACTTAACTGTGACACGGAGTAGAAATACTCATTACTACTTCAGGTAAAGAAACGTGCAAACATTAGGAAGATGCATCTTCCATCATCTCAAACCTTATCACTAAAGAGCATGACTGATCTTAATTGTTCCTTTTCCTGCCACTGAAACCTGTGTTCTATCTGCAATAGAAACATCTTCGTTATTTGGGCAGTGACTACTAAGTATTTTACTCATTCGGTCGTGTCTCCATAGTCTATACCGAAGTTCCTCTTAAAAAAATCAATAAGTGGAAGGTTGACTAGTTTTACCTTAGGCCAGAGAATAAATCACACCTTGATTAGTAGCCGGCTTAACAAATGTTCCAGGCAAGGATTTTTAACTTCCCCATTTATTCTTTATTGAACTGAAGTTCATCAGAGGGCTCTTAATTGGAATGAGTCAGATGAAATCTCACTTCGTTCCACCTTTATTTGACCAATTCCTATGGTTCTTTCCAGAATTTGAGGGTTTACATAAAGCTTCCAATGTTTCTCTCGGTATTTCTTGGTTATTTGCTGCAAGAACACACAGTGAAATTCTTGTTGATGGGTTTAGTTTTGAACATAACACACATTGTTTTTCGGGTTCGTTGTGGCTCACCAATGTGACTTATTTGTTCGAGCTGTCATAGCAGATCCTTCTGTGGTCTCATAACACTTTGAGTTCTTACAGTATCAAATCCTGCTTTAAGTTCGATTTGGAACGTATCATGATGGAAACTAGAGAATTGAACTGGGAATTATATTATCTTACTCTTGAAGACCCTCCTTGTATAACCATTTAATTACAAACAAAATTCTCACCTAATTAGCTCATTAGCTATTGACTAATATACCCTTAGTATTTTATATTTCTATCATTTACCTTTATATTTCTATCATTTACCTTATTTAATAGTTTTTGAATATTTAACAAATTCACCGTGATTACTTCTATATGTAGGAACTTCAATCTATGAGTGACGTTCCTCGCTTAAAACTAGTAGAAGCATGACCCGAATCAAAGCCTTGATTCAAACTAGTCAAGACTGTACAAAGACGAAAATTTTGGCCCAGTCATCCAAATTGCAGACAGCTTTATGCACGCTATTCTGGAGATTGCATCACACAGGATAAAATGAGGCCTTTAGGTTTCTCTCCTCCACTGCAACAACTTTTACTTTGCTCGCTAACTCCCTGTCTCTTTATGACAACTTGCTGCTAAAATTTATCATCTGACTCAGGTTCGCACATGCACAACAAAATGTCACCAGGAGGCAAATGCATTTCTGCGCATCTAAAGCACATATTTTAGACAGAAAGAACAATGACAAAGGGAATCTCATATCATCGGGTGAGATCATGTTTATTTTAGAGGGTTCGTCATGCAATTGAAAATAAAAGATTCTTAGTCTTCATTTGAATTTCATTGTGCTATAAACTTATATTTGAACGTTTGATTCGTAGAATTTTGGTTATGCTGATCATCTACCATCCAGAATGGAACAAAATTCGCAAGAATTTATTAGCCTGACGGGAGGAACAATATAGAGGTAAGAATAGATAAGAGTTTGTTTCTAATGTTTAAAAGTATGTTTGAAATAATTTTCTAATGCATGTAGGTAAATGTGTTTTTTTAATCATTTCGTTTATTTATTTTTTAAAAATTCATTAAAAAGGGGTAGTTTTTGTAGTAGAATCTCACTTTCTGCTTGACAGAATATATCTTTTTCATTAGCCATATTCTATTCTATTTTTTAAAATTTCTTATTTTAAAAAAGGGGTAGTTTTGTATGGTTGATAAAAAAATACCATTAAACGAAATTCTGCATCTTTGTAGTCTTTATTTTATTTTTTTCAAAAGAAGAGTACTTAGAAGTAGTTTCTAAACAAAACATGTATCAAACCTTTGCACGATTTAATTTTTTAAGAAGGATGAACACGAATTCATCCATGATTTCATTTGCCAATCTAAGCTTTTTATCTCGCAATAGAAGCAATCTCACATTAGATTTTAATTCAATCCTGATGTACTAGAAAATATAATAAATAAAATATTAAATTACAAATTTAACCGGTGTATATTTAAACTTTTAAAATAATATTATTATTAAGATTAAAATATTATTTTGATATATGTAGTCAATTTTAGTCTGTAATTTTTCTTTCTACTATAAATCTTGGAAACATATATATATCTTGGAAACATACATATATATATACATATATACATATATATATACATATATATATATATATATATATATTTATTTATTTATTTATTTTTGCTTGCATGAAATTTATTTTTATTATTTAATTAATTTCAATAAAAATTAACTTGCTAAAATTTTAATTTTAAGTTTTAAAATAAAATGTATTTAAACTCAAATTTAATCTCTAAATTTTGATATTTTTAAAAAATACAAATTTAATCTCTAAATTTTGATATTTAAAAAAAAATATGTGAATATACGGAATACAAAATTAAAACTTTTTGAGGTCTTTTGTGAGTTTTCTTTTATTAATCTCTTATAGGACAATTAATTTTTCTAATTACAAATTTGTAAGTGAGCTATTAGATTACATTTTGGCATTAGTACTTTTAAAAAATTCGGAAACCACGAGTCTTTTTGAGGGTTTTCAAGATACTTGTGTTTCTCCAAACAGCAGTGTTCCAATCCTCCTTAGATTTGGGTTGGTTAGATATTTTTTCAGGGTTGAATACTTGAAAGCAAACAAAAAAAAAAAACAAGCTTAAATGTTTGGTCAAAATTCTCATTTATATATTTCTCTATTAGTTTGAGGCGTAAGTACGAAAATTTACAGGAATTACCTTTAGCCATCCAACTCAATAAAAAAAATGTACAGCCCAAAGTCCAATCTATCCTGCAAATAGTAAATGAATATTTGAGTTCAACAACCAGAAAACACAAATGCGCTTCAATAAAATATTTGGGTAGAAAAATAAAAAGCAATCGAATTTTAGATGTATAATAGTACTATTTAATGTTGGTAGATCTCTAAAGTGACTAACAATGAACAGAAGAACAAAATAATCACACACACACACTCCTAGAACTAATGCTTAGGCTTGTATTAAAGATTTACCTCATAAATAAGTCTGAAGCAGCAACTTATAATTCCACGCTAGTTTCTCTGAAAGCTGGAATATTTGCCGTTTTCGTAGATTGTACAGAAGACGGCCGATTGTTGTCCGTCAAAGGAAGGAGCTCTCCCAAGTGTAAGCTCTTTATGACCCATTTTGTAGACTGTAACAAGGCAGAGAGCAAAAGAATATGATTTAGGATTAAACAACATAGATAGGCTTATTTTCATCCATCTAGTTACGCTTTAAAAAGTGGAATAAAGGAAATTGTTTGGTTCCTTTATCTTTTAAAAAAGAATCCATAATTGCCTTGTTTCTTTCCTTCTAAAACTAATCACCATAAGGAAAATGACTGAAAATACCTAAAAAAATGTAGATGGTGAGTGACAGAAAATTGAAGACAGTAAAATGAATATAAGGTTGCAGGAAAACGGAGACCGAAAACTAGAAAATTCATAAAGAAATGCCAAAAATTGGACGTTAGGGAAATGAGACATGATAAAAATTGAAGAAAAGAGTAGAGAACAAACGACAAGAAAATAATAAGGAAATGAAATTGCTCGTGCTAATCTGAGAAAAATGGTGATGAGTATTGAATTCATATTAAGTATTACTATAACTTAATAAATTAAAATAAATGAGCTTGATAATTGTGGAGAGATAAACTTATTGCATGGAGGGGTAAAATTGTAAGAAGATGCATGAAACAGACCAGCAAATCTAAAACTGAAAATTCTAAAAAACTTGGATATTTTTTAAAATGCGATTTTGAAACAACCCATGTAGCATAATTTTGTATGATTTTAGTTATCCGAATAGTGGATTGCTTTATCTTCTAATAATTCAACCAATACGATTAGGAAGGGCAAGCAATTAGTTACCATCAAGGGTATCCCTTGTTCCGAGGCACATTGCTTCAAGTGACGAGATGCCTTGTACTCGTCTTCAACTACGATGACTCCGACTGAAATCTTCTCCCTATTTAGACTCTTTAGTAACCATTGTAAGGTCTTGAATACCTGTCCACCTCCATGCTGAGTGAACAAAAGAAATCGAAAAGACCGAAATTGGTCAGCTCCAAGGAGTAGAAAGTACATTATCAGATGATACGTTGAATGATCATTCGATGTTTCAGCAATAAAATGACACAATATCAACTTTCAGTCCTTCGATCGTTTCGGTTTGTGAAAATGACAAGATATTCAATATCTTCCTACGACATCTCACTTTTCCTAAGAATGTAAAGGAGTTATTGGACATGACCTTAACATACCATTCTTGAACCCTTTCAAGAATGTAAACTCTTTGTTATGGACAAACCTCATTATGACTTTCCTTTGAATTGATGGGATGAAAGAAAATAAAGAGTATTCACGAATAAGACACAAACTTATATTATACTCTTCAAAAAGTTGGTTACCACGTCATTCAGGGTGTAAATTGTCTAATACTTTTTGCTTCCTATAGTCATACGTCCCTTATGTAAATTGCAAAGGTCTTTTTGTAAGCATCAAGGATAACAAATCTCTCTTTTAAGTTTCAAATACCAATAAAATTGTCTAAAGAAACTCACAAGGGTCACAATTAGTCTTGAAATTCAAATTTCCATATTATAGCAGCAAACTTGAAGGTAAGATTAAAGAGTACCTCTGATAATTTTGAGAAAAAAGTTCCAAGAATGAAGGAAATTTTGTAATGTCATGTCAGAAAGTCATGCATAACCAGTACGGTTGATCATGGTAAATAAATAGATGGCGAGAAAGATAAGTCAACGATGAATTTAGCTTCAAGAATCGGTAAAAGGAGCAAGCCTTACCATTAATACTTTCGTCAATTTGGTGCAGAAACCTTGTTTCCCATGAAGCATGACTCCCACATTCTCAAATATATATCTTCGACTACCATGTCTAACTGATCTTCCAATTTGAGTACAATCAGCTTGATTTGATATAATCATGTACCTTAACAGGGGAAAAAAAATCAAATCAGCCTCAGAAAAAGAAATATAGAAGTACAAAAGTTCAACCTAGAACAGCTATGTAAATATAAACAATTTAGAATTGGAGTAAAATGTTTCCCATGCTTATATGTCAAGCCACATACAGACAACGCCTATGGAAAGAAAATGGTAGCAAAAATGAAATTGAAAAAAATTCCTTGCACTAGTCCATTTTAAAAGATATGAACACTTTATCATGGTAAGATCTAGGTGTCGTTAAATATCCAAATGACATTTTACCATTTGCACTCTGATAGGCCCATATTCAGATATACATAAGCTAGATGGGGAAGAAAAGCAATGGTGTTCTGAGCACATTGGCAGAGCAACAGGGAAAAAGTTTCTAGAAATTACAGTTGGTAGAAAGAAGGGGGCAACGAGTTTGATGACTAACTAGTATGTAACCTAGTTTGTTATCTAGTGTTGTTTTAAAAATGCCTCCGCTCATTATCTCTAATCTAAACATGGATTTATTTTTGGACTCTACTAAGTTATAAGACTACTATGTGGCTCTTATTTATGTATAGTATGTGTTATTATTTACATGTGCAGTCCTCTTTTTCTTTTTCTTTTTTTAAATAATTGTAGATGGTCTTTTCTTATATGAGAACTTGTATTTGATTCATAAGATAGTAGAAAATATAATACTCTTTTCTTCTAAAAAATCAAGTGAAACGCAAGTATAAGAATAACTTACTTCCACGGTGGTAACATGGAACCAGCTGCAATGGAATCTGTAACCCAACTGACATTGACTATAAGGGCATTCACCGCACACCCGTATAAGAATTTTGTTGTTTGGAGCTGAAACAAACAAGTAAAATTAATCAGATCAATAAAGTCTACGTAGAGGAACGAAAATAAATCCAGACATTTTTTTATGGAAAGCATGAACGAAAAAAAAGAAGGGTCAACAAAAATATCCCAAAACGAACGACACGACCTCACCTTCAGGCCTATAGACTGGTTGGCTAAGTCTTAAGTTTTAGAATTTGATAGAAAACAGATTTTCCCTTGAAATTTTTTATTTGGAAACTATGGAGTTAAAGGTGATTCAGATAAAGTACAATTGCAAGAAAAATGCCTCTACTCAGACCGTGTGATTTATACTATATAGGAACGCAAAGGAGAAATCAAGGCAGCCTATTCTTTCATTACCGATAAAGCAACAAGTGGTGGTGACTTTTACTGGAGAGTTTCCATTAATCTTGGATTTTTTGTAGAGCATCAAAGGAAAATCTAAGACAGATGTTATGTAGCCATGAATTTAAGAAAGCAAAGTTAGATCAAAAGAAAAAGAAAATGCAAAGCCTTTTATTTTTTTCAAGGGAAGCAGAATTTTTCTTCAAAACCTTATCAAAGTAGAAATATCAAACCACATAACCACACGATTTAGGAAAGTAGGAGGGAAAAATACGTCAACAAAAGTTTGGGAGCCAACCTTCTTTGAAGAGAGAATAACAGGAGGCCCCTTACAGTTTGATTTTGATATCTTTTTCCTCCTTGAACTTGGACAAGGAATGTCGGGAAGAACTATACCTCCGTTATTCCATAATAATGCATCAATATCCTTTTCTTTACGACTAGAAAATCCTGTTACCAGGAACTGTATGCCTTGAAATATTAATTTCTTCCCACTCCTACAGTAGGGACTCTTGAGATGACCTTTACCATCACGATGACTAGATACTACACATTGATTAGAAAGCTTCCACCTTTTACCAGTTCTGAGAGTAGAATCTGCATTCCAACCGAAAGGGAAATTTATTAAAAAAGAAAAAACATAGTAAATCATGTAAGTAACACCAACAATATTCCAACCCTTACAATTTTTTGAAGGATGTACTTTTTGAAGGTTCGAGTTTTCTTGAGGCTGATCATTAGCTTCTAAGAAACGGACTCTCTTCTGCATCAACATATATGGCTCAAGGGGATTCTTACTTTCATATTGCATCTTCATTGTGTTTTCGACCTTTTGGGGATCTGATATAGTTTCAGTTCCTGAACTCTGCAGATGATCTTTCTTGAGATGGGATTTCTTCATTATGGATTTAGATACCTGCAGACTCTGACTTAAGATGTCACGAGTTTTCCTTTTCTTCACTGACTGAACAAGGAACTCACTCCCATCACCTGCAACTTCATCACTTATGCTTTTCAGTTCTGCTATTTCCTCAACCAAATTGTGGTCGGTATCAGTTTGGCTCTCCTCCACAATTTCCATATTTCTAGATTTAGCAGGCTGGGAGGGTGAAGTCTCCATAGAATTTCTTTTGCAGGAAATTATTGTATAATCCAGACGTGAATCTGATGATAACAGCCTCATATTGCCTTGTAGATTATGTGAATAATCGTTGTCCAGTCCCCCTTCCAAATTACCATGAGTGGGCAAAATTGTGCTGTAAGTTTTTAGTGAAGTTAGCTGCCTTCGAATCGAGGGCCTAGAACCTCCAACATCCACAAAGGTGCCTAAGCATTCTTTTGTAGAATCTTTTCCGTCATTCAGATTCTGTCCAGTACAATCAGCGTCCACAGAAATGCTGCATGGAACAAAAGAACAAAGAGGATCGACCAAGGATAGGCTACATTTCACGACATCTTCAGCTACAAGCAAACCTTCGACACCATTTTCATCTAAATGACCAAAAAGTACACTTGACTGTGAAGCAACTAGGAACTTAGATTCACATCTTTGCACACAAGAGTTCTCGTCTGGAGCTATATCAGCAGATTCAGAAAGAAAGCTTGTTTCATTAACAAACATCGAAGGAATGGTTTTTCCATCAACATTTTGTCTCAATTGCTCAGAAGCGTCTTCTTCCTTACAAAAGGGAAATGGAAGAGGAAAGGCACAATCAGAGTAACAATTAGACGAGAAAAAAATTGATTAAACTAACAAAAAGGAAATGAAAGGGGAAGGAGAACCATAATAGTGACTCGCAAGTGGAAATGAACTTGACCTCAATAAGGTAGAAGTGAAAAAGAACAAGTTTTGGGGCGAGGGAGTTCCATCAATGAGAAATGCTAAATGCAACCCTCCACGTTGAAGGGATTTATAGTAACAAAAGTACATAAAAAGTTACCAACACCTTCGTTATATTATTGGTGAGAAGATTAAGCTTTATGTCTTAAACAAATAAGTACATGGATAGAAAAAAAATTCCGAATCGCCAACTCTGAGTAACCATTTTCACATAATGAACCTGGACCAAAATTTCTAAAATAAATCCTAGTAAACTCAATAAATCAAAATATCACATGGTTTTTAGTATTATTTTATAAAATATCCTCGCTGTGTTCTTTCAATTGCAATTGAATCAATTTTGCTATAACACTTGGAAATGAATAATAAAAAATCCACCAAACAAAGCTTGTTGATCTTAAGCACTGAGTTATTCTCTGTTTAACAGTATCAAACTCCAGATTTCAACATAATAATCTAAACCCTAATGTACGAAACGGCAAGGTGGATTGTAAATAAGAGTGGAGCACACACCTTACCTGACCAACCACCCAGCCAACGACTCTTAAATCTGTCGGGAGTTAAGAAAGCAGCTTGTTCATCATTTTCTGGAAATGGGAAGAAAACTATTTAATACTTAAGGCCTGAATTTTCTCATACAACAAAAATACAGATCAAAGTGACTCACTTGCTGACACTGTATTGCACTCATGTAGGTTGGAGCTTTCCTCGGCATGGTTCATACACAAATTTGTATTAACTGCAGTCGAGACAGTTTTCTGCAGTCATGGTATCATACCGTTGTTATTAACAGCTTAAATAGTATTCCATGCTATTTGTAATGCTAATGTCCAACATTTACTAGATTTATCTGACAATTGACAGATACTGGAGAAAACCTATTACACTTCTTCTTTAAGTGGATGGTCTTTGATATGTCTCATTCAAAATATTTTGGATAGTAGCATTGGGAAAATCTCAAGACGGAGATGTCCTTTGGACTTTTACCTGGTTCACCACAAACTCGTCTGATTCATTCTGAGCTGATTGTTGCAACATTGAGCCATATTTACAATAGTTCAGACTAGCCGAACCCAACTCATCATGATCGGAAAGTTGATTATGAATGTTACAACTCAGATGTTCCAAAAGCAAGCCCTCAGGTCTTGGCACAACAAGATTCTCTTCCGACTGCTGCAGGGATAATCCATTCCCCGAAATGTTTGGTTGACTTGGCATATCTATAGAATTACATTGACTGCCATGTGTGAATTGATTTTCATTGACAGGAGTATCTTGAACATCAGAACATATTGTTTCACACCGATCACTGCTCAGAATACTGCAAGGGAATCCTACATCATCAAACGCATCTCTCATTAATAAGTCATCCAAATCTGAAAGAGAATCGCTCAAGTCCACTTCCTCATTTAAGCTTTCATAGGCACTTTCCAGCAACTCAATGCGAGCTTGTTTGACCCTGATGGAAACTTCAAGGACAGACTCAACTGATACTGCTTCAGAGTCTAGCTCAGCCTTTAACAAATCATGTATAACCAATGCTTCAGATGCCACAACAGAGAGCTCGATTGCATTGCTAACTTCAGCATTTTTTAGGCACCCAACATCCGATTTTTCTCTCCATCGGTTCACATTATCTTCAGTATTGGTCACAGATTTACAGACAACATTGTCCACAATATCTCTGTTGCTAGAATGAGGTGACAAATTTGAATCACCAGCGTTAATGCCCTTTCGGAACGAAATATTTACCCTGGGATCAAGTGATGCTTCAAACATATTGGTCGACTGAACTTTATTACATTCAAGCAACTCGTGAGATCCATCCAAATCTTGAGTTGGAGTACATTCCGAACCACCATATGATGAAAGATGCAAATGAAAATGAAGTGCCTGCTTTTGTTGTGAAAAAAACCAATGAGAAAGACATGGCATCATATTACTTGTGTATTTATTTAGAAAAAGTAAAACAGTTGTATAAATGTGCAGATATGAATCTACGGAGTCCTCACTGTAGTGATAGATAATATATAAAAGGAACATTTATTAGTTTTGAGTTCTTTAGTTAATATTTTAATCCAAAATCTTAAATATGCATGAAACTGTTATGTTTCAAATCAAAAACAGGAATCAGTTGACTATTTATACCATGTCTGTACATCCATAAGATTCTCATGCATAGTAGTTGATTTTCTCACTAAATACATACATTCCTCGAAGTTAGTGATAAACAGCAAATCTAAAACTAATTCTTTTTCCATTAAGGCCCAGTTTAAAAGTATACTTATTCTTTATTTATATCCACGTCATTCTACCAGCCTGCCAGACTGTTTACTTTTGCCGAAGAATTTTTGCTTACTGCTATCTTTCGCTTGTTCAACCATCTAGCTTCAAAGAATACTTTTGAAATTCACATAAAAGAACCCCATATCAGTAAAATGAACCACAAACTTACATTATTAGATGATATAGCTACACTTTCTGGTATGCTGTCCTGTCCTGATAGAAATAAATGAAAATCGTTGCATCCACCATCTCTTGGATAGAGATTTGCATCTTCCAGATTATTGTTGATACCGTGCCCAAATTCCTGCAGTAAATATGAAGAGAGGCATCAAAACATTTTAGAACCATGTAATCCCTCCAGGAAGTGCTGCTAGTACGCCTGCTAACCCTGAAATAGAGTAACATCATGCAGTGCTATATTCAGATACCAATTCTCTTTTGAACCGATACTGAATTCCCACATCAACCCAAGCAAATCACGTTCTTTATATGATACGAAATTTGGAACCATCAGAACTATACTGTCAATCTACAAAATAAGGTTCTGATAACACCAGCAGAAAACATAAACAACTGGAATGTATCACATCAAAATTAAAAAGATCTACTAAACTAGACCATAGAGGTTGTAAGCACTTAAGCTTTTTTTGTAGTTCAACAATGCTCGGTAGAGATTTGAATATTTGACTTTTAGGACAGATGTATAGTTAACAGTTAGTATTTGATTATGAAATAAAACCAAACACATCTCTACAATATGTTAATATATTTTCCAAATTCTTTTCCATTTCAGGGCACTCAGCCACTACTGGAGCGAATGCTTACTCGTTCAATTGGAGAAGCTGGAAAAAAAATCCTTAGTCTTAAACAAGGATTGTGTATCAAAGAAGGCCATGGTAAATGTAAATACCAGAGATGGATGTCAACCTTGATTGCTGACTCGTAATTACATTCTATTTCTTGCTCACTGGATGGTGTTGCTTGATTGTGCTGAAGCCAGCAAGGAAGCCACGCTAAATCCTGTAATTAGTATATATTCGAACAATCAAATAGAGCTAGTATGCCTATTAAGGGGGCCACAAAGCCACGTACAAGACTGACTTAAAAATTGAATCTATCTGATTCAAGACCATACCATAAAAGTATGGCTTAAAATACTGCAGATATTTCTATCAGAAACGGAGCTGATCAGACAATGAATTTCAAAATCATGCAAAACATTTCAAAGAATAAATTCGATATAAATTCTTAGGCAGTACATTGTATAGATATTAGATAAAAGAAAAATCAGTTCTCGTGGACCGCTTGCCCAACATGCCTAATTCTGACGAGCTCCATACATTGTTCTATTCCACTAGTTTAATACGATGAAATTTAATTAAACCTTCATGAGGCTAAACATACAAGAACTGAGCAGAAATCACTGAAGGTTTCAGGTATTAACAATTTATAATAACTGGCAACAAAGAAAAACAAACGTACAAGTACGGAATAATGGAGGCGGAATCATGATTCCGTTTTCGTAGTAATGTATTAATCGAAATATCAAATAAAAAGAGCACCGATGATTGAATTCGCATGAACATTCACGCAAGTCGAATTGTGAAAAATCTGAGATACCGCAGACAATCCTAAAGTATTGCCTCGATTTGTTCTCAAACGAACGCGATTCAATTCATTCATCGGTCAAAACAATATTAACGAATACGACACTGAAAACGTCTTCCGGCATCCGCGATCGAAATTTAACCTTAATTTTCTGTAGGCAGTGTAATTAAAAATCAATCACAGCTAACTCGTAGTTCATCTACTATTTCTTTGGTGTTCCAGAAAACATACAAAGTGGCAATGAAAGTAAACTAAACGTACGAGAATATTATCGGTAAAATCGAAGCATCATTGAATTTAAAAGGAGAAATGTGAATGTTTACCTCTGAGAATTGAGGAGGACGAAGCTCCAATGTTTCCATCCGCAAGTTGAGGAACAAATCAATGTTAAAGTCGCTTAATCCTCCATGGAAATCGATATCGCTGAGAGAGCGGCGGCGTAGAGAGAGAATAGAGAGACAGAGAACTGGCGCCAAAATGAACTTGGAAGAGGCGGGTATTTGTGTCTTAAATAAATAGTTCCTTGTGCAGCCGTACTTGAGCGTCGATTTATTCCAATGAAACTTCTGAAAAAAAAAAAAAAAAAAAAAAAAAAAAATCAATTTTCACATCCAGACCTGCAATCTCTATCCATTTTAATCTTAAATTTTTTATTTTATTAAATTAAACATTAAATTTATATCAACCTTGCAAATTTAATTTTAAACTTTAACAAATATTACAATTTTAACTATTTAACAAATTTTCACTCTAAATACCTTTTAAAATAATTTCATATGCATTCAAGAATTATATAAAATATGCACGGTATAAATTAATAAAGTTTTAGAGAAAAAAAAAATATTATAGTAAAATTTTTAATTAAAATTTATAAATTTTTTATTTTTGTGTAATTTTTTTTTAATGGAAGTGAACGAACCTATGAATAATTTCACACTATTTTATTTTAAAATTAGAGGATGAAATAACAATTTTAAATCGAGGTTAAAAACTATCACGCTTATTTTTTATGGTCTAAATTTGACAAAATCTTTTAATTATATGGTCAAAATTTAAAAAGTATCATAGCCTAAGTAATTTAAGTAATTTGTAATTTTTTTAAAGTCCCTCTCAAATATACAATAAATTAACAATCAAAATCGAGCATTTTCTAAATTGGGGACTTGTTTGTTTAATTTTAATTTTTTTTTTTTTATAAAATAACTACTTTAATCATGAATATTTATCTTACTTGAATAATTAGTTTTTAATATTAAAAAAATTACCAAGTAACAATCAAAATCGAGCATTTCCTTTTTATAAGGGTTCAAATAAACTGCTCGAATAAAACGAAGAATAAAAATAATTACAGTTCAAATTAATGCCTTCTACACAGCATCATATTTCTTTTTATTTCTTTTTTCAAGATTCAAGAGAAAAGAAAAAAGAAATTATGAAATGTTCCCAATTAAGTAGAAATTATTATTTTTAAAAATATATTTTCAAGCAAACCACCTGGCTTAACAATGATCAGATAGAAGCAAACAGTTTATGAGAGGGGAAATATACAGTACTGTCCCTTTTCATAACACCACCACTCTCCCTATTGAAAGCAATACCTGCTCTGATCAAATCAACTATTTCTCTTTTCTTGCTTCATCATCTCTATGAAATCTCCAAAAACTGAAACCAAACAATTTGGTTTTGGTCAGTCACAAAGCATTCAGAAATCAACTCAGCATATAGTTGCAAATTCCATCATATAGTTTGTTTATTTTTCAAATCATACTATGTGCCTTCAAAAGATAATTTCAAACACTCCTTGCAAATCATGACTTTCTATTGACTAGATTAAACAAACATACACATGACATGTGCAAAATGAGCACTCGGGTCCAAAATCAGTTCCAAACTTGTCTTTAATCATTCAAAGTCTCGTTTAATGATGTAAAACCATACTTTAAATTGATTTTGAATGATTAAAGGTACGTGTTTGAGAGTGGATTTAAACATGGAAAAAATGATTTTAACCCATGTGTTTGTGTCCAGTGCTCGTGCTTCTTAGGTTTTAAGAGAGGTTTTAACAGAAAGGTGCTATTTCTTTTTTAGAAGTTACAACAGGAGTGTTGAATCCCTTTTCAAAGTATATGAGTATGATTTGAAAATAGACACTTAAAAAGGATATGATTTAGAACACAATGCATTCTTCTGCAATGTGCAGAATTCTATCATTATTTGGTTTAAATATGGCCAAGGTCCATGAATTTCTACTCATTTCCTATTCTAGCCCCAAACTACAACAATTTATATTTTAGCCCCTCACCCTTTGAAGTTATATCTATTTGTCCTTTTAACTTAGGTAACATCAATTTTGTCTCCAATTGTCAACTAACCTCCATATTTAATCGCTAAAATGATGATATATAACGAGAACCTAATAGCTAGGATGCCAGAAGAATTCAAGAATCAAAAGTACAAAAATTGAAATAGGAAACAGATAAAAAACTATTCAGAGACCAAAATTGCTTGGAAGTTAATATAAGATGTTTGTTACCAGAGTCAGAATCATGAGGTCCGGGGGATGCTTCCGGATGGTATTGAAGAGACATAATCTTAAGCTTTGGGAAAGCAAGGCCAGCACAACTTCCATCGTTAAGATTGATGTGGGTTACTTCGACGCCCTCAGGAAGGGATGCAGGGTCGACTGCATAGTTGTGATTCTGCCACGAAAAACACAAAAGTGAATGCAATGAAGTCTGAATAAAAACCATAAGAACACAAATGATAGATATGAAGTTGATAAATTTTGATATAGCCACACCTGAGCACTAATTTCTACACGGTCGTCACGGAAGTTGCGTACGGGATGATTGCCTCCATGATGACCAAACTTCATTTTGAAGGTCTTACCACCTAAGGCCTGACCAAGCAATTGATGTCCCATACAAATTCCAAAAACAGGTACCTTTCCAAGTAGTTGCTTGACCGTTTCAACAGCATAAGGAACTGCTGATGGATCACCGGGGCCGTTGCTGAAGAGAACCCCATCTGGCTTCAACTTCAAGGTCTCCGTTGCCGCCCATGTGGACGGGACAACAGTAATTTTGCATCCATAAGATGCCAAACGCCTAAGTATGTTACTCTTGATTCCGAAATCATATGCCACGACCTTTTTTAACACAAAGTATCAACGTAAAGGTGCATTGCCAAAATACAAAATAAGAACGTTCATGGCAATACAACTAAAATATGATCTTAAGGTTCTTGCACACTCACATGAAAGGTCTCTGAACTGTGCCCACCAGATTTGAACTCCCATTCCAAACTTGTTCTATTCACCCATTCATAAGGAGATTTGCATGAAACGCCACTAATTAAGTCGACACCTGCCGAACAGAAGCAAGAATACTTCTCATTGTTTCCAGCATTTTATGAATATTACAAACTGCACTTTTGCACCAAATCCTTACCAACAATGTCCCATGACCGAGACATTTCCAATAGCTCATCATCAGATTTTGATTTTTCAGTGCTTAAAACACCAATAAGACTTCCATCTTCCCTTAACCGGCGAGTAATAGCACGAGTGTCGACATCATCTGCTCCATGACGAAGCAAAACACAAGTTTCTACAGATTAGAGAATTTAAAAAATTCTGCATATTGTCATTAGAAAAATCCTAATATAAAGTTACTTACAAATTCCCATGATGTTTCTCTCAGTTAAATAATCACCAAGCGTCTGTTTACACCTCCAATTCGAAGTGCTGGAAGAACAATAAGTGGAATAACAGAGGCCATAAGTTACAATTACACTAATCGACTACTTAAATAATTTGGTTAAACAGAGTAAGAGAAGGAAATGCACCTGATGCTTAGGCTTCTGATCACCAGGCCAGCGAGAAAGCATTCCCGAGCTTCTTCATCATCTAATTGGAAATGGTACTCAGTCAATATTATTAAACAGTTCTCAAGACTACACAACACGACGAGTTTGAAGGCATGGCGTACCGAAATTGACACCAGTATTGCCAATATGAGGATTTGTCATCAGCACGAACTGCCCGGCATAGCTGGGATCTGTTAGAATCTCTTGATACCTGCAGATTCATCGTGTCAGGAAGCATCGATAAACATCATAAACTGTGAACTAATAACTGAAAAAGAAAAATGTTCCATCGTCATAGCAAACTATCTCTACTTCCAATTTGGATTCCCGAAGTAATGGCATGATATTTACATAGAAATCGGCTAAAAGCTCCCACAAACATACATACCCTGTCAAAGAAGTGTTGAAAACCACTTCACCAACTTGGGTTCCCGAAGCGCCAAAAGACTTGGCCCTCCAAATTGAACCATCTTCAAGCACCAGCCGAGCATCCGACACCTTCCATGGCCTCTCTCCCAAATCTTAAAACAATGCAACAAAAAAAAAAAAATCATAATCATTCAAACAGTAACTGAAAAGAGTAAAAATCCAACAAAAAGAGAACTCCTCCGAGTACCGATAGTGGCAGCGCCATGGGAGGAAGAGAGAGGAACAGAGCATCTGATAGAGAAATCCCTAGATTTCTGATGTCCTTTAGGGTTTTTGAAATGAAAACAATTCAGTGAAACTCCGGACACCAAGTCCATAACTCTGATCGCCATTGATCAAGTGTGCGTGCTTCAGAAAGTAGCGGAAAGAGAATTTTGGCTTTTTCAAGTGGTGGTCGCCTTCTGAGAGAAAGAAGAACGGATAACACAAAGAAAATCAAAATCCAAAAGAAGAACAAGTTGAAGTTGGAGTAGAAAAACAACGAATCGGTAAAGAACACACACATCCACATCACAGCGCACTGAGAAATGGAAAACAACATATCGAAAAAGATCACTCCGAATTCCCGAGTGAGAGAGAGAGAGAGAGAGATTACGTCTGGAGAAGCGTCAACTTCTGATGCTTTCGCCTGGTTTCTTGTTGTGGTTCGGTGCGTGGGGCTATGGCGATGGGTTTAGGGTTCTTTTGCGAACAGAGAATTATTCGAATTGTGGAGGCTATTTTCGTCCTTTCACAAATTATCAAAATCAGCTTAAATTACAAATTTAGCGCCAAACTTTCATATTTTTATTCGTTTAGTTCTTCTAAATTTATTCGGTTTAATAGTGATTCTTTCAAATGCGCTAAAAATTCATATAAATAAAAAAATTTATATTTAGGTTTTATATATATTCAAATATATTCATACCCATAATGGTAATTACAAGTGCCCCAACCTAATATCATAATTTCCAGTTCTAAGCATATTACAAAATCTCAAAACTTCCTCATCCCATTTACACGCTTCGCACGTGTGTTCTCCATAATAATCATCCCCATCGTTCTCATCCCATCTAATTCTTTTCACGTTCTTCTTACAACTATTCTTAACTACACTCTCACAGTCTCTTTGGTCATCGAAATCTTTTTCCGACAAAGAAATCTTGTTCTTAACCCAAAGATAACGAACAAATTCCTTAACTCTCCAATGACATTCAGCCAATTTAAGCCCTAATTTCGCCTCACAAATCTTCAAGAACTTCACTCCCTCATCCTCCAAACTCGTTGCCTACAAAATGATGCCGTATACATAACAAGCTTTCGGGTAGCCTTTTTGGGCAGAAAGTTTTAAATATGTCATTCCAAAAGCTTCTCTACAATGGGTGAAGAATTCTAGCATCCCCTTTCGGTATAGAGTCTCTGGGTTCTCGTTGTTGTTGCATTTTTCCATGAACGACCAAAACTCTATGCTGTTGTTCCATAGAAGCTTCTGGAAGTTTCCAAGGGACGCGTGCTGGAATATGTAGCCATGACTTGATGCTTCGAGAAAATCCTTGGTGGCTAATTTGGCTTGGACTAAATGCGTGAATGAAAAAGCGGCAACTTTTGCCAAAACTTCAATCAATAAATCATTTGGGAGTGATTCTATGGCCAATGGAGAAGCATAAAACGCGCCATTTTGGTTGTCCTGCACATCATAAATTAGAGAGAAACAAACTTAAAGAAGAACTCGAGCCGCCGCCAAATCGTCAAAAGTAAGTCACAACCGTTGTAATAAATTTATTATTAAAAACTCTAGACAAAAAATAATCAAATAATTTTTATTAATAAAAAAAGTATGCATGCAAAAATTAATTTAACGTACATTGAAATTTGAGAGTCAAGAGCCTGGGATTTTCGTTTCAGGGAACTGACCATCGTGCTACGATCTTCAAGCTTTTCACTTATGAACGGCATCGTTTCGCTGTTTATAAAGAATTTCACAAATATTTTTATCGAGAGAAGCAGTGAGGAAACTGAAATTTGTTTATGAACCTATTTATGAAAGAAAGAAAGAAAAAAAAAATAAGTGCTTCCTCAAATATGTTGATTGGAGGGAAAATGGGAGTCATCAAGTTTTGAATTTCCTTATCTTATTACGAAATCTGATTTTAATTATCTTTTGTTAAAAACAAATCGAAATTAAATATTTATCTTATTTACATTTTTTAAATATATATTTATCAACTATTATTAAATTCAAATTTAAAAATTTAAACGAAATCTGATTTTAATTATCTTTTGTTAAAAACAAATCGAAATTAAATATTTATCTTATTTACATTTTTTAAATATATATTTATCAACTATTATTAAATTTAAATTTAAAAATTTAAAGATTATGAAAGTTTATTATCTTTTTTAAAAAGAGATCTGAAGTTAAAAAATTTCCTGATTTTATTTTCACCTTCCCTAAAATGACTAATACCAATGGAAATAGTATTTCTCATTTATAAACACATCATCTTCCACTAAATTAACCAATGTGGGACTCACTCTCAATAATCCACAACATTATTTACCTATATTAACTTAATGATAATAATGATTTTTGTGTTAGATATTTAAAATTTTAATTATATTAGTAGCTTTTAATTAATAGTTCCAAAACTTATACGTAATTATTATAGTAATCATTCATAAAGAAATAAGCTACACGGATGCTATGTTTTCGTAAGTTTCATTAATGGAAAATATTTTGTTTTTTCCTTTTTGGTTTATATTTCCATTACCTAACAGCATAAACCTAATTTCAGTTTTCCACCGGTATTTATTAATATTTATCTTTAAAATAAATAGAGCGTCTCGAATATGAAGAAGTTTTATACGTTCATATTTCGTTTTCTTCCCCAATTAATGTGAAATCTCACAATGTACTTTCGAGTCCCGACTTTATTATAAATGTAGTAATATTTTAAAATAATTTTCAAATTTAAATATTGATAAGCTTTGACCCTTAATTAATTCAAATATATGAATACACAATTATAAAAAAATACAAATAATTTTATTATTAAGCTAATAATGGTAACTACAAGTGCCCTACAGCATATCATAACTTCCGGTTCTAAGCATATTACAAAATCTCGAAACTTCTTCATTCCATTTACACACTTCACACGTGTGTTCTCCATAATAATCATCCTCATCGTTCCCATTTCATCCAATTCTTCTCACGTTCTTCTTATAACAATTCTTAACCACACTCTCACAGCCCCTCTGATCACTGGAATCCTTTTCCAACAAAGAAATCTTGTTCTTAACCCAAAGATAACGAACAAATTCCTTAACTCTCCGACGACATTCAGCCAATTTAAACCCTAATTTTGCCTCACAAATCTTCAAGAATTTCACTCCCTCATCCTCCAAACTCGCTGCGTACAAAATGATGCCGTATACGTAACAAGCTTCTGGGTAGCCTTTTTGGGCAGAAAGCTTTAAATATGCCATTCCAGAAGCTTCTCTACAATGAGTGAAGAATTCAAACATTCCCTTCTGGTATAGAGTCTCTGGATTTCCGTTATTGTTGCATTTTTCCATGAACGACCAAAACTCTGGGTTGTTGTTCCATAGAAGTTTTTGGAAGTTTCTAAGGGACGCGTGCTGGAATATGTAGCCATGACTTGATGCTTTGAGAAATTCCTTGGTGGCTAATTTGGCTTGGATTAAATCCGTGAATGAAAAAGCGGCAACTTTTGCCAGAACTTCGATGAATAAATCGTTTGGGAGTGATTCTATGGTCGGTGGAAAATCACTGAAACGCACCATCTTGGTTATCCTACACATCATAAATTAGAAGGAAACAAACTTAAAGAAGAGCTCAAGCCGCCACCAAATTGGCAAAAACATGTCACAACCACCGTAATAAATTTATTATTCAAAACTCGACGATGAAAAATAATCAAATAATTTTTATTAATAAAAAAAACATGCATGCAAAAATTAAGCTAACGTACCTTGAAATTTGAGAGTCAAGAGCTTGAGATTTTCGTTTCAAGGAACCGGCCATCGTTCTACGATCTGCAAGCTTTTCACTTATGAACGGGGGCGTTGAGCTGTTTATCAAGAATTTCTGGAATATTTTGGTAGAGACGAGCAGAAAGGAAGCAGTGAGATGGGGTTTTAAAGGAAAGAAAGTGTGTTTAGAAAGAGGAAAATATGTTGATGGGAGGGAAAATGGAAGAGTTTATATAAGGAAAATATTTTGATTTTTCGATTGAGTTTTGAATTTCCTAATCTTATTACAAAATCTGATTTTAATTATTTTTTTTTTAAAAAACAAATCTGAAATTAAATATTTCAAAATTACAGCCTTTATTTAATTTCTAATTGTTATTACAATTATCTTTCCGTAAATCTTAGGTTTACTCCGACTATATTTACTCAGTTAATATTTCTTTTTGTGGATGATTATTTTTTTTTTTTAAAAATCATAAATTTTCTTATTTATCTGATCTACATTTTTTATAAAATATTCACATTTTTTAAATGTATATTTATTAAACGGTTATTAAATTCATATTTGAAAATTTAAAGATTAGGAAAGTTTATAACTATAATTAGGTTTTCAAAATTTAAAAATTAAAAAGATAAAATAGTTTAGTAAAATCTATTTTTGTAATAAAAATTTATTTAATAGTAGAAATATTTAATTAAAAAAAAATAGAATCTCCTTGTTATAAAAATTACAAGAAAATACAAATAAACTTTTCAAAAATAAAAAAAAAAACAAAACGAAATAATTATTTGATAAGCGCCTACCATGCTGAAATTTGCAAAGCTAGAGGTCCTTCTAGAATCCCTGCAAAACGCTCACACAGAAAGCTAATTTAACATGATTCATATCATTATTAAATGAGGTGTAGACAATGGACAGTTTACGGACAAGACGTTTAAAAATACTATACAATATCGTACGTTTTAATACTTATATATCATTCAATTCATTTTATTAGCTATAAAAGTATATAAAATAAGATATATATTTAGATTAACAGACAGATTCGAAGACTTCATAATTATTTACTTTTAATAATAGTTAATTAAATTTTTAATGTATGAGTTTTTAATTGATAGTGCCGAAACTTAGAACATATATTTAGTAAGTAATTATTAAATATAACCATTTAGAAAGAAAGAAGCTGTACTGATGCTATGTTTTTGTAGTTTCATTAATGGAGAAGATTTTGTTTTCTTTTTTTTTTTGTTTATATTTCATTTACCTAACACCATAAAACAAGGGTAGTGAAAGTAAATTTATGGTTCTTATTTCAGCATCCTAGCCGACCAATCGCACGGTGTTTGGTTCTAATATAATTTGTAACGGTCCAGATCTAATGCTAATATATATATTTTATTTCTCTTTTGGGGTTTTCCCCAAGGTTTTTAAAACCCATTTGGTAGGTAGAGGTTTTCACACGTTTAGAAAGAATGATTTGTTTTCTACCAACCGAAGTAAGATTATAATATATTTTAGATTTTATTATAAATGCACTAATATTTTAAAATAATTTCCAATTTTGAATCTGGATAAGCTTGGATAATTAAATCATTCAAATATATGAATACAATTATAAAAAATAACGAATAATTGTATCATTAACTTCATAATAGTAATTACAAGTCCCATTCCATAATATTATAACTCCCGGTTCTAAGCATATTACAAAATCTCAAAACTTCCCCATTCCATTTACACGCTTCGCACGTGTGTTCTCCATAATAATCATCCTCATCATTCCAATCACATCCAATTCTTCTCACATTCTTCCTACAACAATTCTTAATCACACTCTCACAGCCCCTTCGATTACTGGAATCATTTTCCAGTACATAAATCTTGTTCTTAACCCAAAGATAATAAATAAATTCCTTAACTCTCCCGCGACATTTAGCCAGTTTAAACCCTAATTTTGCCTCACAAATTTTCAAGAACTTTACTCCCTCATCCTCCATACTCGTTGCGTACAGAATGATGCCGTATACGTAACAAGCATCCGGGTAGCCTTTTTGGGCAGAAAGCTTTAAATATGCCATTCCAGAAGCTTCTCTACAATGAGTGAAGAATTCCAGCATTCCCTTTCGGTATAAAGTCTCTGGGTTTCCGTTATTGTTGCATTTTTCCATGAACGACCAAAACTCTTTGCTGTTGTTCCATAGAAGTTTATGGAAGTTTTCAAGAGATGCGTGTTGGAATATGTAGTTGTGGCTTGATGCTTCGAGAAATTTTTTAGTGGCTAGTTTGGCATGGACTAAGTCGGTGAATGAAGAAGCTGCAACTTTTGCCAGAACTTCGATCAATAAATCGTTTGGGAGTGATTCTATGGGCGGTGGAGAAGCACTAAAACGCGCCATTTTAATTGTCCTGCACATCATAAATTAGAGGGAAACAATTAAAAAAGAGCTCGAGCCACTGCCAAATCGGCAGAACTGGGTCGCAACCGTGGTAATAAATTTATTATTGAAAACTCGTAGACGAAAAATAGTTAAATAATTTTTATTGATAAAAAAGCATGCATGCAAAAATTAAGGTAATGTACCCTGAAATCTGAGAGCGAAGAGCTTGAGATTTTCGTTTCAGGGAACCGGCCATCGTTCTACGATCTGGAAAGATCTGTAAGCTTTTCCCTTATGAATGGAGTCGTTTGGTTGTTTATCAAGGATTTCAAGAATATTTTGATCGAGCGAAAAAGGAAGCTAGAGTTTGTTTATGAATCAAATGAAGTTTTAAAAGAAAGAAAAAGTGTTTCGGAAGAAGGTTTCACGTTCGGTTTTGAATTAGAGACGTTCAAAATGATGAATCAAATATGTTGATTGGTGGGAAGATGGGAGAGTTTATATAAGGAAAATATTTTGATTTTCGTATTGAGTTTTGAATTTCCTTATCTTATTACAAAATCTGATTTTAATTATCTTTT